GCGGGTGTCATGGCGCCGTTCAAATTTCGTAGCGTTGATGTGTAAATAATTAATTAAGTATCTGGTGACAAATACATGTGGGTATAGACGATTTGTTATACAGTAAGTACAGTTGTATGCAGTAAAATACTAGAGGCTACTGTCCCTTTAAGTATCTGGTGACAAATACATGTGGGTATAGACGATTTGTTATACAGTAAGTACAGTTGTATGCAGTAAAATCCTAGAGGCTACTGTCCCTTTAAATTATTATAATAATTACTAAATAATTGAGTAATTGTGATCGATTTGCTAATGGTATTAAATAGTGACAGGCTGAGCAATACAAAGCTAACACTGTAACAGACTTACCTTTAACACTTTGAATGCATCCTCACATATTGTCATTCCTCTTGACTCGAATACTTCCACACATCCCATGTACTGCAAATATGTGCACACAAATTATATCAGATGGAGACTCCAAGTTAGAGAAAGGTAGAATCCGCTATATTTTAAAATTTTGCATCTCTGTTCCAGTTGGCAGAAAAAAATAGCTTGATCTAGGTCATGACAAGAATGGCTTCAATTTAGTGTCTTATGCCAGAGTTATTAGGACATTATTGGGAAAAGTACAATTTAAAAATTTGAGAAACGAAATTACCATTGCATTTTGACAGTGATCACAACAATAAATTACAAGTTTCACAACACCAAATTTAAAGATCTGAATATGGCCACAAAAATGCTAGCTGGTCCCACTGATGCAGGCGCAAACAATAATTACAGTGATACATTCACTCATCAACCTATAATATCTTCAAGAGTCTATCCATATTGATAGACTCCTGATATCTTGACAGTCAGTCATTTAGCAAATGAACTTAGAAAACCCATTACGGTACTATTTGAGCTAGTTTTATTCCACAGATAATGGTTTTCTGTCATTTCGCATCCATCACACATGCACATGTATAAATTATCCATCTTCCAACCCAGTGAATAAATTATTTACACATTCACTTTATCCAATTATAATAGGATGGGCAGCCGCCTGCAGGATAATATTCCAAATAGGCAATCAAATAACAGGCTCTGACTATGCTATATATATATACACAGCTCTCCTGTACATAAAAATGTTCAATGAATGGGCCAGGCTTTTAGACGCCTTGATGAAAGGCCTCGAGTTGGGGTGCGATATAATTCCTGTGGTATACTTGAGTGATGTCTTGATAGTACAAGTGTTAGTACACATGTATGTTTTTTGTGACACTATGACGTATGATGCATGATTACTATGGGTGGGTTGTGGTGCAACGGTGTGTGGTTCAGCTAGGTTAAAACTGTTCAGCTGTAGTAGGTAGAATCATAGGATGTGGTGAAACTGAATTAGAGAATGTGATATTTGGAACATAAACTATCATACTGTGTCTCTGGCATACCGTCGTGCCATTTTTGTCTAGGATGCGATATTTGTGGCAATGTAGATGTGTCCCTGTGGGGATATGGTATACTGCAATTGAAACTAGAAAGGGCAGTTGTCGCCAACTACATGTATCCCCCGTGATCCAGAGAGACATGATACAAGATTGCGTGGCACAGCTTTGCTGTTGATCCTAAGCGCTGCTGATGATTATATATGGACGATATTTTAGGAATTGGAGATTATAAAACAGTAACAAAAATCGCTCAGTCATGCTCCAGATTAGCTAAATCAAAAAGATTAGAATTTAATATGAACAAAACAAATACAATGGCTATAAAATTCACAAACAAAGAAAGGATAGAGAAGGAGACCAAGGCAACCAAGGCAATAGGCAACCAAGCCAATAGGCAACCAAGTAATCAAAAAATACACCAAATATTCATACCTAGGGGATTTAATTAATGATATAGGAGGTTATAACGATATGATAAGAGTCCGAACTGAAAAATGTTGATGATGAGCAGTTTCATGATGAGCAAAATATTATCATGGGCAGAAGAGCAAAATTATGGAAATCATACTATAGAAGCAAGAGTGAAATTATACGAATGCACAGTTTTACATTCCTTCCTAAATAACAGTGAAACATAGACTAACTTAACTAAGAAAGAAGTAAAAATGTTGGAGTATTTCCAAAATGAGTGCCTGCGCAAAATAATAATCACGTAGAAAACGCAGAAAAATCTACGGAAAGGAATTGAAAGACGATGAAAATTCCAAGGAAAGATACGGAGAAATCAGTAAAAATAACAAATAGTTTCTATACGTAAATTGTGGTAAATACATTAAAAACGCATTATTTTATTGAAAATCCCCATATTTACTTATATAACATCCAAGAGATGGCGCTGTGGCATGTAAACATTGGCTGTATTTTTATGAAAAATGTTCAATGAATGACGCACTCGTTCACTTCCGACAGCGAGTGAAAATGCGGGAAATTTTCCTCTTCGCTGCGAAATGCATCGGCCGGGCATTTCATTATTTACGAAAAGTAAATAGGCCGGCGAAAAACGGTAGGTTCAGGAACCGGTAACGTTGGTCCCCATTCATGACCATCAACGAAGAAGGCGGGGCTTATTCTGTTTACAGAGATGCAAATATGCAACAGAAAGACCTAGCGCAGTGCGCTAAACAGCGTGTTATTTTCGTATTTGTGCCAAACTCTATCATAGGAAACCGTTCTAGCCTAGCAGAATGCCCTAGTTCCTGAGATCGGCAATTCTATGCTCTAATGGTATTATACCTAGAAGTTATAATAGGGAGGTGCGGCGTAGACTGTGATTGGAAGACACAAAGTGTCAATCCTCGGCGAGCCTCGGCATCATGGCCGCATCACGTCTAGTATGAATGAAATATCTCTGTAAGGACGTAGAAGGTAGGTAAAGTTAAATAAGTCACAAAGACAAAGGTTTGTTACACAACTCATCTGCCTGAGATGTGGAAGTATGTTAAAATTGGTTGCCTTAAGGGTTTTGGTACGCGACACACCTTCTCCCCGAGATGTGTAAGTATACAAAGTTTGCTCGCGTTAGGTCAATTAGGGGCCGAGTTATAGAGCAGAAGGGAAATATGATGAAGGTCAAGGTCAAGGTCAATGTCAAAAAAAGGTTGCAGTGACCTGGTTTCGGTACGCGACACACCTTCTCCCCAAGATGTGTAAGTATACCAAGTTTGGTCGCGCTAGGTCAATTAGGGGCCGAGTTATAGAGCGGAAGGGAAATATGATCAAGGTCAAGGTAAAGGTCAAATAAAGGTCGTAGTGACCTGGTTTTGGTACGCGACACACATTCTCCCCAAGATGTGTAAATATACCAAGTTTGGTCGCGTTAGGTCAATTAGGGGCCGAGTTATAGAGCGGAAGGGAAATATGATCAAGGTCAAGGTCAAGGTCAAATAAAGTTCGCAGTGACCTGGTTTTGGTACGCGACACACCTTCTCCCCAAGATGTGTAAGTATACCAAGTTTGGTAGCGCTAGGTCAATTAGGGGCCGAGTTATAGAGCAGAAGAGAAATATGATCAAGGTCAGGGTTCTCCCCAAGATGTGTAAGTATACCAAGTTTGGTAGCGCTAGGTCAATTAGGGGCCGAGTTATAGAGCAGAAGAGAAATATGATCAAGGTCAGGGTAAAGGTCAAATAAAGGTCGTAGTGACCTGGTTTTGGTACGCTTCGCACCTTCTCCCCAAGATGTGTAAGTATACCAAGTTTGGTAGCGCTAGGTCAATTAGGTGCCAAGTTATAGAGCGGAAGGAAAATATGATCAAGGTCAAGGTAAAGGTCAAATAGAGGTCGCAGTGACCTGGTTTTGGTACACTGAGCACCTTCTCCCCAAGATGTGTAAGTAGACCATGTTTGGTCACGCTAGGTCAATTAGGGGTCGAGTTATAGAGCGGAAGGGACAGTGTCTGCGGCGGCGGCTGGACAGACATGAAACCACAGTATACCCGCCGACTTCGTCGCAGGGGATACAATTAATATGTGCCTCAGAGAAGATTACTTTTTAATCTGCAATGCAAAAGCATATCTTTTACGTTTGGATATAAATGAAGTTAAAATTTCATGCAAAGACAACTTAGCGCAACTACGTCAGTGGAGGCCAATAAAATAAATTCCAAAATTTAAATTAACGATGGCTTTCAACAAAATCTGCACAGTAAGTTACAGTAGATTTTCGATACATAGTATCAGGGGTTAATAATGACAAATTGATAATTTGTCATTTAACCCCTGATAGTATATTTATTATTTACACGTTTAAAGTCTAGAAGGGTACATCTGACACCAGAAACGTGTAAATTATTGAAATGTTGTTACAAAAATTGAAAGAATGTTGTTTTAATGTGGCATAATCTCTGTTACTCCAACCCAGAAGACCTGCAAATATTTAATAGTAACACGTTGTAGCAAGGAAAAGTATTTCTCAATCTTGCCATTGGCACAGTGCATGATCACAGCCCACCAATGAGATTTCAGTTGGTATTTAATTACCTGTAAAAAGTGATACTAGAATTGAATTTTCAATTACAACAACATACATGCCCACGCATGCACGCACACGTACCTATTTTAAATCTATAATCATGGACAAGTAGCATGCATGCAGCTCAATGGAACACATCATTTGAACCAAACCGAGGGCAACTATGTAATGAGATGGATTATTCATGGACTCGGCTGCAGGGGAATCCAGCTGGGAAACAGCCACGATGATCAATGTCAAGAATGGAGAGAGCCACTTACATTTCCATATCACACGAGAACTTGGCATTACCATTTCGCACACGCGCACACCCATGCACACACGCACGCATGCATGCACGCACACAGACACACACACACACGCACATACGCACGCACACACATGCACACACCCATGCATGCATGCACGCACGCACGCACGCACGCACGCACAGACAGACACACACACCATTGATTCAACCCATATTCTGAACTTGGTATGCTATATACTTACGCCTAGGAATGATATATACACATGTATGTACAGGCCCGTAGCATGCAGCTTTATATTGGGGGGGGTTCGTTTTTCAATGTTGGCAATTTGCTCGGCAGGGGCGTGTACAGAATTACTACCAGGGGTGGGTCTAACCGTAACCCAAAGTTGCGAGCACGCGAAGGGTGGGTCTGGGGGGCCCTCCCCCAGAAATTTTTTAAAATTAGACCCCCTCAGATGCGTTTTCTGCGCGAGCAAGGGGGGGGGGTCCAGACTCCCTGGACCCCCCTGTACACGCCCCTGCTCGGGCAAGGGAGCCAAGCGACCGAGCGGGGGGAGGGTGTGGGAGGGGGGTGTTCACTGTTCACCCTCCCGCACGATGGAGATTTTGCAATTATTACACTAAAATGGAGCGACCTGAGGTGAAATTCTTGCAAATTTTCAAAAAAAAATATTTTTTGCTTGGGGGGGGGGGTTCGTTCGAACCCCCCGAACCCCGCCTGGCTACGGGCCTGTATGTATATAATATTGGTCTTAGACTGATCCGATATACGATTTTGTTCAATAAAGCACATGTTCTTACGTCTATAATCATTATCTGTACTAGGAAATCAGACTGAATGCCACCTAAGTGACCTAACTGTCTTTCCTACAGTGACTTTACAATCCGTAAGCCTAAGGTCAATCCCCCTGAATAGCTAAAGTGGCTACAGGGCTACTAGGCTTGATGGATTGCAAGCGTGTTGCATGGACCTTCTAAAATGTCTACAATATAGTCAGCAATGCAACCAAATCAACATACACTGATAAATTCTCGACATAAATTATCTCGGCCGTTGTTGGTCTCAGGATGACCCGCTACGTTTTTAGCATTCTGGTAAAAATGCTCATTTCTTTTGTATTGCAATGTTGTTGTTTTTTGTATTTGCATTTTTTAATGAAATGGAGCTGTAGAAGACACAAGTACATCCATACTCTCAAGAGGAAGTTGCCTGGGTTTCATTTCTGTTTCACTTACACACAAGCACACACTCACAGATGCACGCACACAAGCACGCACACACAGATTTGCATGGTGGTGATATGGTAGTCTGGTATTGATCTGATTATTGGCTTGTATGTGTAATGCCGTAAAGTAGCAGATGCCAAGAAAACAGCCATACCCTCACGAGGAAGCTGCAGGTACCAGATCGGACGGCCGCCTCATCTAGTGTCCACTGATGTGGCTTGTTGCACTCTGGTGTCGGCTCCTTCTTCTTACGCAGGCTGTCTCGCAGACTTTTACGCAGCCTGTCCATGGTCCTGTAAGACAGGATGACAAACGTTGCAACATACGTACACATTCACAGACCTTGGTTATGGTAAAGCAATCAAATCATGCTCTTCATATTGTCGAAGTGCTGCAGCTGTAGTAGCAGATAGAGATATGAACGTATAGGAAGTGCCAGTAGAAATATGGATTACTGAGACTCAATAAACTCCCGCGTACGAGTGTTTCTCAGGTGTAAATTTAGTAATGATTGATGCTATGAAAACAAAGGCCACGGTTATGACAGACCTAAAACTAACATTATAGCTAGTGAATACTAGTGATTTTTTCAATTTAATACCTTGACTTTTCGTTTCAAAATTTTTATTTTAGACTTGAGAAGTTAACTTTGTTAAAATTTTCTGTCACATCATACAGTCATCTGAATTCAAGAACCAATCTTATTTTAGTATAGACACGTAGCAGACCAATATTTTAGTAGGGTGTTATTAGGCACCATGGTTCAGAAACAACTCACAAGCTGTGACACTGACAATAACTACAAGCAGAAATCTGATACATGAAATCACAATCTGCTACTAAAATTTGGTATATTGCAACAAACATCAAGTTACATAACATGGTTACACAGCTATTTCACACATGTAATCATTAAAAATATATAAATAGTACGATGAACCCAAAGTATTTCACATGATCACAGACATACGCATGATTTATAAAGTTAACAAGTGCCGCAGAGCGACAGCGCTCAACTGACGTGTACTGTAGCCGGGTATTCTTCTGATAAACTCACTAGCAACCGAATCAAGTGCGCCCTCCCGCCACCGCTTTGATAGACTTTGCTATACCGGTAGTTAGTGTTGTCAATCGGTTGTAATTTCGTAATCGATTATCGGTTAGACCCAAGTAACCGATGATCGGTTACAATCGGTTACTCGGGGTGTTGAATGCCTGCGTGTGCGTAACGTCATGTGCATGTACGTGTGTGCATGTATGTGCTCGTTTAGCCCTGTTTACTGTTTGTTTTGCACATTTACTACTATGTGTATAATACATGTATGTTAATAAAGGATAACTTGTATAGTAGCGATGATGTTGAGGCACCCTCATCACTTCCAAGTTTTCTTGTTCAAGTTTTACATTTATTTCGATTTTTTTTTTTTTCCGATGAAATCGATTATGGATTTTGATAACCAAGCGCTTGGTTCGAGCCACTGTTCAACCGATGATCGAGTATACTCGATGATCGAGACATCACTACCGGTAGTACAGTAATAAAGATATAGTTGTGTAACTTTAATGACTTCGCTATATTAACGTTATCATGGATATATGCGTTGAGCGCGAGCGTAGTGGTGGGGGGGGGGGGTTTGGCTCTAAATTCTAATAGCAAAAGCAGTTCAGTCCTTTGTTAACAGTCAACAAATCCATGTTTAACCCTCCTCTTGAGGGTCAAAAGGTTATCAGACATTTACTCTTCGCACGTCAGCAGAAAGTAGATTCATGGTCCTTTCAATAAAGTGATAAAAACGGTAGGTCAGCGCTGAAACAAAAAAGTTTTGCACTCGGTCCGTTAGACCATGTCCTCAGAAAATGTCTGATATCTCACCTTTCCCCCACTGCCCTTTGACCTGTAACCTCCAATTTTCCATTGGTGATGGGTTTCCTCCCCATCACAAAATACACCGAATATTAAGAGCGTAGGTCGAGCCGTTGAGATTTGGGCCACAATTCCGTATTTCCTCATATATACCTTAAGATAAGAGGGAAATTATTCCCCCTCCATTGACACATCTCGACCTTTGACCCTTGACCCCCAAATTCGACATCCCGAGTCCTTTTCGCGATCCCCCCCCCCCCCCCCCCCCCCCC